GGCTGGATAAGAGGGATAAAGAAGTATGTGAGGAGCACTGTTTGGCTGGGTAACAGGAATAACCTGATCATGTAAGGAACACTGAGATTGGCTGGATAAGAGGGATAAGCTTATTGGCTGGATAAGAGGGATAAGCTTATTGGCTGGATAAGAGGGATAAGCTTATTGGCTGGATAAGAGGGATAAGCTTATTGGCAGGATAAGAGGGATAAGCCTTTTTTATGCAAGGAACACAGATTGGCTCGATAATGGGGATAAGAAGTATTATGTAAGGAGCACTGAGATTGGCTGGATAAGAGGAATAAGCTTATCACGTGAGGAAGACTAAGATTGGTTGGATAAGAGGGATAAGCTTATCATGTAAGAGAGATTGGCTGGATAAGAGGGATAAGCCTTTTTTATGTAAGGAACACTGAGATTGGCTGAATAACAGAGAAAAGAATATTAATATGCAAGAAGCTCTGAGATTGGCTGGATTACAGGGTTAAGCCTATTATGTAAGAAATGCAGAGATTGGCTGGGTACCAGGAATGAGCTTATTATGTAAAAAGCACCAATATTGGCTATATAACAGGAATAAGCCTATTATGTAAGGAACACTGAAATTGAATGAGTAATATGGTTAAACCTATTATGTAAGGAGCACTAATAGTGGTTGGGTACAAGGAATAAGCTTATTATACAAGCAGCACTGAGTAGGTCAATCTCCTTTCCATAGGTCTTTGTGCTTTACACAATAGTACCACTGCCACAATTTTCTGGTCAATCACCTTACTACGCAGTGCCATTGAACAAAAAGTGAAAACCAAACTATTTATTAATGTCTGACTTCTGTAAAAATGTAAATACGAGTAATATGACAATTCTTATTAGTTGACTTCTGTGTTATCAAAGCTCAGAACCCACAAAAACAGTCTAGAAGTGGGAGGCTGGAAGATTGTAGAGATTGTTATATAACACATAGTGACCCAGAGTTACTATAGTCAGTGTTACTGTGTCTAAGTTGGGATTGTATCTTTGTATGCAGAAAAAAAAAAAAAAAAAACATTTTTTTTTATGCTACATATTTTCTCTATTAGTACTGCATGTATTTCTGTAAATTAAGTGTGCATATATTCAAAATAAGTCGTAATAATGTTTTCTCATTTATGTACAATAAAAGTTTGGTCTACGTCCGCTTCCAATAGAAAAAAATAGTACCACAGTGCTTGGCAGCCTGAATCAACAGGTTTAATGTTTAGCCATGAACTATCCAGGACCAATACCTTCAGAGGATAATAGATAGTATTTATGAGGAAAATAATCTTTGGCATTCAAGTCATAGTCTATCTTGCTAAGAACTGTAAATGTGCACTATAAACAATAATGGCTGGCCACAAACAATTCAAGAAGTCAACTTATTGATATTATCAAAGACAATGGTTTATTGTCATTGATATTATCAAACAGTTAGATATCAACCACAACAATCAAATTGCATAAAGTATACATGAAATGACACTACAGTGAAAGGCACAAAGCAAGGGCTTTGCTTATAAATGTATTTATAAAAAATTGTGAAAGCTAATCATAATTTTCATTCAAATTCAAATATTCAACAGTGTTTGGCTGAAGAGCTAAACATTGTCTACGCCCATAATGCGCACACATGCTTTCACATGATATAGAAACTGTGACTGTTCACATACTAGTATTCAAAATGGAGCACTTGATGATTGGATAATGTTGAACTTTCTTATTAATATTAACTAGAATTAACGATGACGACCCAATACCATTTGCGGATTAGTCAATTTGAATTCTAACATCCATTTTGTTTTAAAAAAATGTAAATGATCATAGCTTTATGCCCTTTACTGTAATAAATTGTGGTATGAATTTAAACATTTGCATATCTGTATTTGACACAGGAGTTAGACACATTGGCTTTCATGCACAGGTCAAACACCAGGCATTGATCTCACTTATCGTGACTCTGCATGAACAGGTGATTTTCCTTTCACTGACTGAAGGTCTGCTGCAAAAATCTTTTTTTTTCATAAATACACTTCTTCTAGCAAAATTTACCACCATCAAACGTGTATAGAATATTACTAAGCATAGAAACACCCAAACAATATTTTCGGTTTTGACAAAAACCCACGAGATGTTTTAGTGTCATTAGAATGATATAACCTTTGTTTTTCCTGTTTTTATGTTCAATTCATGCACAACATAGGATTTTGCAGCGAACAACAAAATAGTCTATTTCCAGTTTTACTGGTACTGATACAGTTAGTGTGCTGCTGTGCCCCGTTATAATAATAATAATAATTGTTTATTGCATCTTTAGAAATATACATTTCTTTCAGTATATAGCAGAAGAAATATTAATCAATACAGAAAAATAAAATATAACAAGTTAGTAACAAGTTATATGAAAATGGTACTACATTATTCAAATATGAGGTGCCATTAGTTGTGGTTTTGCGGTGTCAGTGACTTATTTCAGACTACTTATTATCCTTTTTCTTCTATATATTAGTTGAGTCTGTGTCCTAAAAGTTCAGCATATACTAACCACTAAAAACTAGACCCTGAATCCACAAAAAACTGCGACTCTGGTGGGTGGGGGTATGCATTCATAATTCAAAATGACCTTTACAAAAATGGCAAAAAAGCTACAATTCAGATTTGTTCCCCCTTTTTTTACAGTAAATGTGAAATGCGTTGAAAACATGCAGTGAATTGCCAAACCCATATTTTATACGAGAATGTGGCGTGATGCTGATTCAGTAAATCGGTGTGTGGGAAATGTCTATCCTTCCTATGAATAATAGAGCAACCTCGACCTACAACAGGATTAGCAGCGGTTCACAGCTCTTTATTTGCGTCTGGTGATAACGGAATTTCAATTTTCATATTCTGTTTAGATACTTGTTTTCATCCTTTTATGAGTTGTCAATCAAAAGATGATGCCAATCGCCGACCAGATACGGTCACGAGAAAAAAATACCGCCGCCAATCGAACAGTTCAAACTGAGTTCTCATCTCCACTCACAACAAGACTTGCTAACTCTACACATCATGCAGTAATGATACAGAACCGTAACATTTTCTTACCTCACTCATTTCTGACGATAGTATTTTTGTTAGGTACATGAAGAGGCCAGTTTCGTCTCTGATGTATGAAGACGCGGGCAATTTATCAATCAAAACAGTAGATTCTGCAGCCAAAACAGTTTCTTCCCAGTCACTATGAGTATGGACCTTACCAAATATCGCGAGATTTAGTCATTTCACGAGATATGTGTGAAAGGTCAAAGATTGAAATCAAAAGTCGGTCGCTGGAATACAATGCTTCATCACAGGTTATGTTTGATCCCTAACGCCAATTCCCTGGAAGTAAACCCACCCAATATCGGTTTAGTTAGTGTCCTTATAAACATACATTCATACACTCATATACAAGGTCGCACAACACGGCAACGCAGCATCCAATTTCAGAAGCTCACCCCTCCGATCAAATGGCTTATCCCGCCCCACTCCAGTGACAGACTTACGACACTTTTATTATTGAAATAACATTATTACATAACGGTTGTCAGATAACAGAAAACGGGCGTGTGGTGTCTAGAAACAGTAATTTCACGCGATTTTATTATTATTTTAGAATACGAAACTTTGATAACAAGGTATCTCGAAGCGCCCTCTCAGTTATGAATCTGTTTCCAAATGTCAGAAAAAAAGTATGGACTTCGAACTAATTTTCGCCCCATTATTAAAATGAAAAATTCTTTTAAAATTCAATCCTCGTTGCGTATAAAATGCGCTATAAAAATTGAGTTTTTGGATACGAACTTGTGAAAAAGTCAAGCAGAGATACGAACTTGTGAAAAAAAATCACGTTGGAAAAAAATGATTTCTTTGATCTATACACTGAAGTAAACAAATGCGTGTACGTTGTACATTATTCATAAACGTACATATTTATGAACTCAAGCGGCAGTCACACTGTGTATGAGATCGGACCGTGACGTGGCTCTGACATACGCGGCAGAAACGAACTTCTGAAAAAAAAGTCATGTGTAGTACGAACTTCTGAAAAAATCACCTAGACAAAACAATATCATATTTACTAAAGTAAACAAATGCATGTACGTTATAAATTTAAATATTTATAAACTCAAATGGCCGATACACTGTGTATCGGATTATTGGATTATTTATAAGATTAAGCACACATACTAGAGTATTCTCTTAATGAGTATGGTCGTCTTGATATTTAATAATCGCCCTTAATAACTATGTAGAGAGGAATCATTTGATTTATCGATCTTTTTTCATTATTATATATATTTCATTTTTTGCATGTAATGCTATGAGAAACTAGCACACCCTGCTTTAATTTGGCCAATATCTGTTTCGAACGTCGGAGTAAACACCATAATGTAGTCGGTCAACGGGAACACCTTCCGCCCTAAAAAATGTTACTTGACGCGATCTATGGCAATTTTGTATGTTTTTGCGCTCGTTTTGAGCAGTTGCGTTTCAGTTGTTTAGGAGTTAACATCTGTATGTATGTTATTGAAGAATAAACGCAATTACTAAGAATTATAATGCTTTATAAATGAAAAGAAAAAGGTAATTATCGTCCTTTTTTAATTGCTTCAGGTATAAGAAAACAAACATCCATTCTGTATTAATATAGCTGTGTCAATAGAAGTGTTTCACCTAATCTTGCACAAATTTTCAGTTTAATTTATCAATCAAGTTCGTAACTTTTGCAGTTGAGCTTGTATGGTCAGAAACCTCTATGATATTATCCGAATGAATCATCCTACAAAAGCCACATATTGTAAACAAATACAAATATTCATAAATAAATAAATACTGTATTAAAATACTGTGTGAATTATTTTTTCCAAAATGAATCTGTAATGTAATCAAGTCCGCCAGTATTCCATCACGTGTTTGAGAAATCTTTTTTTCCTTCGTCGAAAGCGCCCTCACTCGGGAGTCTTTGACTGAATGGCATTATGGGAAATATTTACCTTCGCCATGTTGAATATTGAAATATTTTTACAGTGGTTCGAAATTTGACAAGTTTGGTAAAAAACAATAACGTTCGATTGTTTTTTCGCTGTTTAGAGGGAACTTTATGATACATTTCACAATTTGAGCCTCCATAAAGTCACTAGCTATGAGTTCATCGGACGGAAAACGTGGCAGAAGAAAGAAGAACAAACGGGGTGGAGGGAAAGGAAGTCGACAGCAGCAACAAAAACAACTCAAAGTTGTTAACAATTTCGAGGTATGTTTTTTTCGCCACCTTATTTAATACTGCTTATATGTTTTGTTATTATATTAAGTAAATTTGATGAAGTTTCTTCAAGAGCACAAACATAATATTTTAATATTGACAATAAGATGACTGGGGCCTGCAGTCTGCTTTGAGTGTTGTGCTTTTGAAGTGAATTGTGCTGGTGTAAGGTTTCCAGCCCAGTAAGGGTTCACCGCAACCTTATGTATGGCAATGCAGAAAAGGTATCATGTAATACCATCTCATGAAACTGGGAATTAATAATCAGGTTTATGATTGCAAGTGCACAGTAGATTTTACATTCTCTGTGGTTCTAAGCTGCTTTATCCAATATGGAATACTGAATGCAGTTGTGATTTATCTATGTAGTGTAGTGCATGTTTTGGTCACTGCATGGAAAGATGTTTATAATCGTTTTTAAAAAAAATGGCTTAAATCTGAAAATAAGTCTAAGGACAAAAGTGTTATTACAGTGTATCTGATAATTAGTTTTTAAAGTTGATGTTTTTCAATTTGTAGTTATTTATTTACATTTATATCTGGCCAACTGATCGACACTAATCAAAAGAGAATGATATACCCTCACATACCGAATAAAAGTTTATAAAAGCAATACTGCTGAAAAGCTGCATGCTCAGTTATTCTCCAAGGCTTGAGAATCGGGTACCAAGAGTTCATCAAGTAGTTACCTGAAGCCATACAAAAAATTGTGAATTATACAAATAAACGTAGTTACTCAATTAAAGTAGCTTTGAAGTCAAACTGGTTTATGGAAGATAAATAGTATTGTTTGTTTTTTTAATTCCTGCTCTAAAACAAAAGTTTGTGGTCTGTGCACTTGGGCTAATGTTGGGCTAAAACACAACTGCCCTATATAATGAGCATTTTAGGTAATCCCCTAGGATGCTTGTAGATTAGCATCTAGTAAAATTGTGTAGTTTCTTCTATAATAACCAATATTTACATTCCTTATATGAGCAATTCATCTATTTATGGTTTAAAATAAATTCTATTAGCTATTACTCAGAATAATTAAAATTCCATTTCAATAGAAGACCCTTCTACAATGTAAGGGCATCCCCCAAAAATAGTGTGGCTCCAGTAACATGACCCCTACCAAATAAAGAGCCCTGTCCCTAAACATTTTTAGCTTGCCTTGCAAAATCAAACAAAAAAACACAAGATTGGTGCGAAAAAATGTACATTATGTCTGTGAGGGCACATCCGTAACATGTAAAATTCCAAAATGGTTTATCGTCACAGCATGTATGCTAGAAAGTGTGATCTTGTTGAGAAAACAAATTGGTAATGTGCTATGTTAATCATTCACAGACATTTGCATAAGATTATCACTTGTGTTTTTCTGAATGTAAAACATATTCTATTAAAATATAATGTCCATGGTAATTTGCATGACCATGGTCTCAAATTCTGCTGTCTAACATACAATTTGGTAAGGTGACAAATAATTAAATAAATTACCAAAAAAAATAGATCTATCAAGCTACCCTATTTTTATAAAAAACCTGTTACTGGAACCACACCATTTTTTTTTTGCCCTTGGCACCAATAATGTCCCCTTAATTTTGAACCTGTGTCTGTGCCTCAAACACTGGACAGGTTAAATTATAGTTTATCTAAGTTATTCACTTTAAATTCACTGTCAGAATGTGTGTTTCTTGATGCGTCCACGCATTATGTCATACTATACAGGATTTAATTATTAGCTGGATTTATTTTTGCTTATTTGCTGTGCTAAATTAAAAGCCACTGATTATGCATATTTAACTATAGAATGTATTATATCAGTATATGCAGTCCAAACATTTTACCAGTGGTGAATGTGTTCAAGTTTTAATTATTACAAAATAAATAAAAAATGTTGTGCATAATTTATCAGTAATTCCTAGAAAGACTTATAGGATTGTGCTATGGTACTTGCCATTTGTGATTTGTATACCATACTCGTCTGAGTTAGCGTCTAGGGTACTCTGCTTTTAGTGGGATGGGCAGTGCCTCCCTTGAAAAAAATTATGCAAATGGCAATTTTAGTTTAGCAGTTTAAGAAAACATGACCTTGAAAATAGAAATGCCCCAAAAGTGGGAGGTAGGTGCTAAGTTGAGCATGTGCATATCAATAGATAACAAATTAGAACGTATTGCATTCTCCAGAATTGTCACAGTCACACTACCATATATAGGCTGTGGAGCAATTTCTCCTGGTGATGTCACCAGGGAAGTACTTGGATGCAAATTAATAAGACAAACGAGGAGTTTTGTTGTGAAATGCAATAAATGACTGATAGTAAACATCAGCTTTGAAACTTTGATTAAAATATTTATTTTGTGCTCAGATGTATAAGCTTATGGTAATATTCACATACCAATAACTGGTTTTAGACATGGGGATGGCAAGCGTTTCACAGGCACTTTGAATGGTTTACATGGAAGCCCGCTGGGCTACCAGTTTTAAAAGCTGGTTGTTCTATGAATCTATTGGGTAGCTCACCAGGTTTGGTAGGCACTTATGAATATGCAAACAAGTTTATAAAAAAAAAAAATGGAAAAGTTGTTTGGTTTTCAGAGAGTGGTTTAATTAATCAGGTTTAACAGTTTATTGTAGATGTTGAAATTTAAAGCAGCAGCTCAATTATTCCAAATGTTTGCCTTAGCTCCTATTCCTACTTGTTTAGTCAAGCGCATAGTACACTGACTCTTTTCCTCAGATGATACTAATTAAAAAGCAATGTTAAAAACTTGTACTGATTGAAAAATCATTATAAATTTTTCTGCTACTCAGTTTGGAGTATGCTTTTTTGGGGTAACTGTTTTGTTGTCTGTAGAGTAGTTAGTTTTGTGTTGGTATTTCTTTCCTTTTCAACATACAAAATGCATTGACCTTTTTACAGTAAAAAAATATTGGCTGAAAGAAGTATTAAATTGTATTGGTAATCCCATCTAAATAATTTTTTTTCTATTTTGTACTGTTATTCATTCATGTAATCGTTTTCAAGTAAAAGACTTAAGTCTGAGCCAAACATCTGACAGTGATTGAATTGCTTGCATGACAAGTTGATTATCGTAGACAGATTGTTATTTGTATGTTTTATCATATGTGGGCAATTGTTATTAGTGCTATTTTTGTGTTCGATAATAATTATCATAAAGTTATCTTCATACATTTCAGTGATCACCCGATATCATTGCCATGCAAATTTGTCTTCAAATCTATGTCCCCTAAAATATTAATTTTTCCACATTTTGTTTTTTAGTCCCCGTTCGGACGCAGTTCGAAAATGGGGACTTATGTTTTGACCCTTGTGCGTCCGTGCTTTGTGCTAAAAAATCATCATAATCAAGCATTTCTCGGCTGTTTACAGATGGATTTTGTTCAAACTTGGTCTATAGATTAGACATTATGGGACCTTGATGCAAACAATTTTATTTTTCAGGTCGGATTAAAAATGGCTGACTGGCGGCTGTTTTGTTTTAATGAATGGCATTGACACGCAGATCGCTACAAACCAACCGATCTGACATATACCGCGCGTGGAACTATGGGAGAAGTGGTCGGAACTATTTCCACTTTGTGTCAACACAGGTGGCGCTATTCGGTTGGTTTGCGGCGATCTGCGTGTCATGCAATATTGAGAAAATTAGACCTTTGACCTCCCAATTTACATGCATTTAATGTTAATAAAATAAGATATTCTGATGAGTGTGTGTGTTATTTTATTTGATCACTCATTAAAGATTAAATCTTGCTAAAAATCGGGGGAGGATGTGTTCAAAACAAGAAAAATACTTTTATATAGTTCCGCAGCTGAAACGCTGAGAAAAATGGTAGCGGATGGATATTTAGCCTTCAGAGGCTAGTTAGGCGTCATAAGACACAGGTCTGTGCTGAATAGCGCCACCTGTGTTGACACAATGAATGAATGGGCTTCTAGACCCATATCTCAGACTTGCTTCGACTGATTATGTTCAAATTTTTAAATATTCATTATACATCATGATATAGATTTACAGATATATTGGTTTGACAATCCTATTCAAAATGGCCAAATGGTGGCCATTTTTGTGCTAAAATATCATCAAATATCAAGCATTTCTGGCATTTATGAATGGATTTCGTTCAAACTTAGTACATAAATTAGACATTACGAGTTTCTGATGCACAACATTTTATTTTTCAGATCGGATTCAAAATGGCTTACTGGGGGCCATTTTGTTTCAATGAATGCGGTTCTAGTGTTATTTCTCTGACATGTTTTAACTGTATATGTTTAAATTTCAAATATTCATAATGAATTAAATTTAATGAGTTAAATCTTAGCTAGTAGGGGGGCACTATGAATATTAATTAGCGATTGGCACTCAAATCAGGCTGTTCGTTATACATCATTTCATAGATATACAGATGTATGGTTTGACGATCCGATTCAAAATGGCCGACCGATAGCCATTTTGTTTTTTAATTAATGCTGTTCCAGGGCAATAATTCTCAATATGAACTAGTACTATATATATATTAATATAAACAAAACTATACAACTTAGATTTGATAACTAATTGTGACTGTGCCATGCATGGCTTTTGTTTACTTATGTTAGCTATTAAGGTAGCGAGACTATTATTTGCATACTTGTTTTCATCTTCTAATTGTGACTAAATGACTACAAATAGACCCGGAAAAGTATATATTTTTAGAATCGCCAGACTTCAAGCTTTTCACAAGTGT